CCTTGAGCTTTGGATCAAACTCCAGAAGCATAAGAAAAATGCACAGAAAAGTAGGGCCCATTTCTATTATTTATCTTTTTAGTAATACTTTAATGTCGGTTAAAGTACAAATGTCTCCTCTATAGTGCTGAGCAGTTACTCACACAAGTAACCCCAGTCTTTTGTGAAAATTCTTCTACAAGAGCAAAACAAAGTTCTTTGGATAAATGTGGTATCTTTTATTAGACCAACTAAATACAGTAAAAGCTTTGTTATCTGGCATGAGTGGGGTAAGGAGGGTGCCGGTTATCTAAAAAGTATGGTTATCTAGGCTTGCACATGGCGGTGGCAGCAGCGTGGGGTAGTGGTGGCGGTGGTGGCCGCCACATACAAACTTCTCCTCACCCTCACGTCCAGCCATCCAGATGGCGCCTGTGCGGCCTGCAGAGGGGAGCTGCTACCCTTGCCCCCACTCAAGAAATACCTGATGCTCATGGCAGACAATAGAGTATTCCAGCTAGTAAAATGCCAGTTAATGCAATTTTACTATAGTTTGAAAAATTGTTCTTTACAAGCTTTTGGGCACAAACACCCTTCTTCAGGCATAGGGAGAGTCTACTGGTGTTTGTGTGCTCTCTAAACCAATATGTCCTTACAATAATAATATTAATATGCTAATATGTCTATAAAAGTAAGGACTCCATAGTGTGGCCCAATGTAATCAGTTCTGCTCATTTTAATGGAGCTATTTTTGTAGGAAGGCACAATTTAGTGAAAGAGTGGCAGAAATTATGGCCCATTAGAAGCATCTTAACTCTTGGCAACAGCAGATTTGTATGTCAAAAATGTCTAGAAAGAGTTCCGTCCTGGGGGTGACAGTATGATCAATGAGACGTGTCTGGAATTCCATTAAGTATGCTTATTTTATTCTTAGCAAAGCAAAGGAAGGTGGAAACAGGCAATTTTAAAGGACCATACCTGAAAATGTCTAATATACCATGTGTGAATTCCAGGCTTTATTAAATACATATTTTGCTAAAGTATCCCCATACTATATTGCTCTTAAAGGCATTTGGCTGCTAGTTCACCGGTGGCATTCATGGAATGATAAATCTAGTCTCCCTTGGCGCCCACCTGATTAATACCTTAAATATTTTCTCACTATAAATCCAGCACCGAGGACAGTGACTTTAACTGCATATACTTTTTTTACTGAAAATACTTATTAGTGTCACACTAAACACTCCATCTAGAATGACACATAGAGTAATAAGTAAAACAACATGAATGAAAAGTAAAATAGCTAAAATTACTAATAGCATAATTATGGAGGAGGCACTAATGATACTGTAGTTAGGGTTATGTTGAACTTTTAAACTAAAGCAGGATTGTAATTAGTAACAGAAAAACCCCTGACTCTTTTTATGCATCTATGGAGAGCCTGGATTAAGTTCAGTTTTACTATGGAGAGAGGCAGTATTTTGACACCTGTGTTGAAGTTTTACACTTAGCAGACTCCCTGTGGGACTGTGTCAGAAGTGGTCTGGGGAATCAGAGCTGAATTTAAAGAATACATACAGATTCCAGGCAATACACCACTTCCACACTCCCTTCTCTCTTCAGTGTAAAAACATTGCTTGGAGGCTGGAACTACAAAACCCCCATAGCCTGCTAGTAAAGTTGATATTAAGGGTGAAAACCAAGGTGAAGGTAAAGGGGATCTCTAATCAGGCTGTTACTGCAAGTCATCCAATGAGTGGGTGGGAAGGGAGGAGGGGCAAATGGCACAGCCTTTGCTCTGGGCTCCCATGAGTCTATGTGGCAGTTAGGTAAGAATCCATATGGCTGTAGGCCTAGAAGATCCTCATATACAAAGCATAGCTACCTGTTCATGTGGTGGTAGGAATGAATTTGCTCCAGCAATATTAATAATAACAAAGGTTATTTAAAGCAGTCTTCTGACTGCCCACTAAATTGCTGTAAACACTATATTGCAATTCACGGGGCATTTTACTTTTGCACCATCCTGATACCAACATCACTCTTCTGTTGAATGCTAACAGATCTCCAGATCAGATTTTTAGGTCAGTCCAGTCTAGTGGATTCTGGAAATATTCTAAATATAACATATTTCTCAGCTACATTCATAGTCCTGGTCAAAGAGCATGCATACAATTCCTTCTTCCAAGACCAGCTCAACACCAATGCCTGGTTCCCAAAGATTAATTCTACCATAATGGACTAATCCAGAGGTATTCAACCCTGGCTTGTGGGCCAGCCCTGGCCTGGTGCTGTGCCATCTGGCCTGTGCGGCTCCCCATGGATCTGGAAATTTGGTGATGCAGAAATGGTGCCTACTCCCTTGCTGTCAAATTTTTGAACCCATGGGAAGCTCCACAGTCCTACTCACTAGATCGGGCATGCAGGATAATGTGTGTCCTGATCCTGACACCCAGGAGTGATGTGGGGTCCAATCTCAGTGCGTGAGGTTGGGCAGTTGGCATGAAGTGCCAAGGTGTGCAAGGCTCAATTCCAGCATGCAAATTAGAGGTGCACTGATACATTGGTCCGATATCAGATCAGCACCAATATAAAGAAAATTGAGTGTATCAGAAATTGGCCTGATGTGGCCAATAATTTGGCTGATATATGTCCATGCATGCGCGCAGCTACAGTGCAGCACATAGGCAGCCAGGAGCACAGCTTGGCAGCTTGGAGAGCTGCATGAATTGGGTAAGTCTGTTGCGGTGGAAGGGGTGGGGGAGGAAAGAGGTGTGGGGGTGGGGGCAGATCAAGGCCCCAATGATGAGGGAGGGAGTGAAGCTGGGGCTGTGGCCGGCGCTGCCCAGCCAGGGCAGGACAGGGTGTAGGGCGGAGCCGGGGTTTGTCCATGTTGATACTGGATTTGGACCCAGCACCTATACCTTTGTTCTGGGCGGGCACACCCCTCAGAACAACCACACCACCTGCCAGTTGATAATAGGCTAATGTATTGTTACAGAGTAAGAACAAAAAAGCAACAATTCCAACAATCAAACAATTCTATATTTACCAATCCTAGGGCTGTCATCAAAGTACACCTGGTCAGCACGCAGGCCCTACTCTGAGGCTCTCTTTCTTGGGTGTCAGCAGTCTGGAGGTGGGATGCCAAGGCCCACAGCCCCCCTCCTGTGGGGTGCATGAGATGGGCTACTGGTATGCCCTCAGTCCATGGTGGCCTCGAGGACCCTTCCTGGGAGACAGGGATGGGGACCCCTCCCAGGGACCAAACAGAGAGGGACGGGACAAAGGGAGGGACCTTTTGTTAATGTCAAGTCTCTGCTTTTGTATTCCCCTTCCCCCTTGATGACTCCTCATGACACTTCATTTGTTGAACACCACTGAAGTAATCAACACTAATCCAGGTATATCCCCAACACTGAAGGTTATACTTGTTCACAAGCTAAGGAAAAGGACTGGGAAGACTATATCCAACAGCGCCACCTGGTGCTGTCTGCCATAAACAAATAGGATAGCTGACAAGTGACCATGTAGATATCCATCCCTAGTCAATTCACCCCTGGTCAATTTAAAAGTTTTCTTAGTATAACTGTGTGGGCTAGGGATGTGATTTCCATTTATAACATAGCTATTTGATAACCCCCCCCCCCAACATTGTAGTACAGAGGCAGTTATAGTGGCAGAAAGTGCTTCTGCTGATAAAGCTTATTTTGCTCATTGAATGCAAATAAACTTTGAACAAAAATGCTTTTGCAACAAAAACGTTTTTGCAAATAGATGCACCTGCATCTGCACTAGGAGGTTGTTTGCCCAATAACACTAAGCTGGCAAAGCTTTTGAGTGCAAGCAAGGCCTTAATTCAGGATTTAGCTCTGCTGGCCAAACCTTGTAGTACTGTCATGTTGGACAGGAGCATTAAAAGATCGCCCTCTGTGGCTGGTGCAAATGGCCTAGGCATGGTCTGTACAGGGAACTTGTCATTCAGGGGAGCTGGCACAGCTCTGGCAGCCAGGTCAGCGCTGTATCTAGCGCGTACCAGCAAGCCTGGCCCAGGCTGATCTCGCAGCAGCCAGGCCCTAGCTTGTCCCTTTTATACAATATGTAAACCAAAAGCCGAACGCGGATGCACCGGGCGCTCAATGCGGGAGACGTGCGAGCTCCGCCGGCCGAGGAACAGAAGCGCCAGGAACTCGTGTCAGAGCGGGGTCGAGCCTCCGGGTCCCAGACACTGCCAGTGCCGGCTCTAGGCTACCCCCGCTCAGCGTGCCCCTGCGCCCTCCGGCCTCGCCCGCCGCTCTGCCACCTGAGGGCTGCTGGTGCCGTGGGGGGATGGGGCACAGCAGCCCCCAGCAGCTTGACTGGGCCTGAGCGGGGCACAAGCCATGAGGCGAGGACTGGTTAGCCAGCGCGGCGCCCCGGGGGTCCCGTGCGGGGGGGCGGGTGCCGCTGCGGGGCCTGCGC